ACCTTGGCTTAAACGTGTGACTTGGATATGAATCTGAAGTCCGAAGTAAATTTGTAAGACTAATGCAAATAACTCTAAATGGACTGGCTTGACACTATCATTACCTTGAAAGCAGAATGCTCGAAATGACGATTCTAAGAACAAAGAAGGTAAGTTTAATGGGCTGAATCCAGTGCGATCTTAATGCACTAAAAAAGCTTAAAAATTCACTTTGGACCTCCAGTCTATGTCCAAGTAACAGCCTCAAGGTCCGGGTTCAAAAGTGATAGGTTTTCTTGGAAGTAGAAAAAGAGAGAGTATGCGGAGAGAAAAATGCACACACACACACACACACCGACATTGTAGATATGGATCTTTGTGAAGGACGTTAGGCAGGTGTACTTGTTTTGTCTCAAACCGCATGGATACTAACCGTCTTTTCTGCAAGAGTGAAATCAGAATGAGCAAACAAACCAGGGAGCCTTTTTCTGATGAAGTTAACCCCTCTCCTTTGACAATTTGACACGAGCACAGAAATCCTCCTCCTTTTCATCAGATTAAGTTGTACTTCAGTTCGTTTTTTTTCAACTGCGTTCTGTGTACTTTAAGCTTTTTATAGATAACAAAAAATAGTCGGTGGTCTATCCATTTAGCTCTAAAGATAGAATATCGTTTAGTAATGGGCACAAAGCATTTTTCCCAGTCACTTGCATGATTTGTGAACAACTGGAATGCTATGTTTCTTCAACATGTTACGCTCAATTGATAGACTTTAGATCTATACAACATTTGCATAAGAACCACAGAACGAACTCCTCATTCTCATGAACAGTCATCATTGGACCAAACTCTCTGGGTAGTGTCTATGTATGAAACTGTTATTGCGCAGGCTGCGTTTTCCTAGAGATGGTGTGATCTTTCCATTATTCCTTCGCCATGGCGCAACGGTACTGTCAAAACGTATTACATTCACCATACTATACCTCATAGACCTACAGTCAAGGAAATGCTCGAATTGCTGCGATTCACACTATTTATGGTGTTACTCCAGGTGGCAGCGTGTATAGGTACGAGTTTTTTCCTTTGTCTGCTTTCCTGCAGCAGCACTTTTTGCGTACAGTTAGTTTTGTCTGTAAAATAAAATCAAGTTCAAGTTCAAACTTTCGTGGCAGGGTGTAAGAGATGACACTCGCTCCTTATTATTTTTTGAAAATCTTCCTTATAGAATACGACAGAACTGAGCACTGGCAGTCCACCGTTGTACAGTATATCTTTTAGTATATTATAAAGCATTCTTTGAAGTGCATAACAATGGCAATGAAGCAGGTTAGGGTTGTCACAGTTAACGTTACAAAGTAAAAGGAACGGTAACGAAAACGTTATCAGTTGCAATGATAACAGGTAACTATCGAGTTATCATTATTTCTGTAGCGATAATTACTGAGTTTTCACCTAACAAGCAACTATTAATAGTCACTATCAGGTTGGTTTTAGTTGCTTCAAAGTTGCTTTGCAAGTCCTTTTCGGTTACTTTCGTAGCAAAAAGGTAATTATCTGAAGAGCAATACTTTTCACACAATAACACGAAGCCTTTAAAATGTTTTCTTCGAGATGTCCATATAGTCAAAACCACTGTAAATCCTTGCCTCATAATCAAAACTAGTGACGCACAAATAGTGTGCAACACGACTCTTTGTGTATAAAAAGCTTATTATTTCTACTCTAACTGCTTTATTGACAGATAATGTATGTCACGTTGTTTCAATATTATTTATTATTCAGTAAAATAATATAAATAAATGTTCTCAACCTCCAGATCAAGATCATCACTACCAACAGACAAAGCAAGAAAATATAAAAGACTGTCATGCTTGGATGACATTGCTTGCAACAGCTCTGGCTCCACTGATGATTGGTATATATTACTGTCGTGATGACTATACAACAGCAATCTTCAGCTGATAGGATTGAGAGTGGTTTTGACTATATGGATATCTCGAAGAAAACAGTTTGAATGCTTCGTGTTACTGTGTAAAAAGTATTGCTCATCAGATAGCTACCTTTTTGTTACAAAAGTAACCGAAAATGACTTGCAAAGCAACTAAAAGCAACCTAATAGTGACTATTAATAGTTGCTTGTTAGTTGAGAACTCAGTAGCTATCGCTACAGAAGTAACTACCACGCATGGTTGAATTTGAACTTAATTTTATTTTAAAACATCTGGAGTCCATACATAGTGTGAATCGCAGCAATTCGCGCGTTCCCTTGACTGTAAGTCTGTGACTATAGTGTGGTGAATGTAATACGTTTTTACAGTACCATTGCGGAATAATTTATCGAGTCGAGCATCAGAGTCAGTATAAACATAGCCATCGTAGACAACATTTGGTAAAAGAATGATTTACTCATGTGATCTAAGATCGGGCTAGGGCAAGTGTGTTTGTACTTTTTCAAAAGATATAAGATCTTATTACTTTTACTTTCAATCGGTTGAATATGCGGTTTCCAGCTCAAATTGCGCGAAATAATAACGTGCAAGTATTTAAGCTGCGAAACACTTAATGGACCTTAAGATCAGAGAGAAGGAAGCACTACCGGCCCAGTATTACTAGAGAATGACATGGACACACATTTATCAACATTCAGTAGAGTCTTAGACCTATATATGTAATCGGTGGACTTCAGCATTTATATTGGCAAGCAGTCGATACCGATTGTGGTGCTGACTGTATAGCAGAGTATCATTCTAAAACGTTTTCAATCCAATTGGATGAAAAAGAGTCAAGTCATATACATGACGATTGCTATTTTCTTAGAAAAGATGCGCTTCGTATTGCAGAAATTTCTGTTTGAATAAAAGTAGTGAAGCCCTGGCTTGGGTTTAGGACTTGATACATTTAACTATTTTTTTCAGAATATAACAATGTTGTTATCAGAGAGAAAATATTCTCAACCTCAAGATGAAGATCATCACTACCAAGAGACAAAGCAAGAAAATATAAAAGACTGTCATGCTTGGTTGACATTGGTTGCAACAGCTCTGGTTCCACTGATGATTGGTATATTTACTGTCGTGATGACTATACAACAGCAATCTTCAGCTAGTAGACAACGCCAACAAGAACAGCAACAAGCTGATAATCTACAAAACGAACGAACATTTTCTACTTATGTTGATGATATAGCAAAATTACTGCTAACAAAAGAAGTCACGACAGATAATAAAGCTCTATTGTATATTCGTACTAAAACTCTTTCATCACTACGAAAACTCGATCCACAAAGAAAAAAACATGTGTTATTCTTTCTATATGAAAGCCAGCTTCTTCAATATGATAAAGCTAAGAAACATGATCGTTCCACACTGAATTTAGCGGGAGCTGATTTGACTCATATTCATGTAACAAAATTGAAAAATTTTAATAATTTATCTCTGCCCGGTGTTGACTTGAACAATGCATCGTTTATTAATTGTCAACTACAGCATTCACGGTTTGCTGATTCAGTAATGAATAATATTAGATTCACCAACTCATTTCTACTGAGAACACGTTTCAGCCGTTGTTCATTAGAACGAGCTGATTTCACAAATGCTGATCTATATGGCGCTTTGATGACCGAAAAACATCTTCAGGAAGCTGAATTGCTTGACAATGCACGACTACCAAACGGCTCATTTGCCATGATTCAAGGAAAAAATTTAGTGGTAAATGGTGAAAACATCGGTTGTCATTCGAAATTACTATCCCCATGGGTAATGGAAGCTGATGTTATCAAGACATTTCCACATTATCGCTCATCATTGAACTGTTATTTTGGAATAGCTAACCTATCGTCGATGAGTCCTACGTCCATAGAGCAGTCAGTAGTAGTGGCTGATTATTCTGTGTTGATTGACTCGGGAAAAGCTGAATATAATTTTTCGGGTTTTTTCGGTGGTAACGCTTATGCTAAAATAACATTTTTCACTAGTGCAC